GATGCCATGGCCCCATCGCGAGAGGAGCGAGAGAGCGATGTTGGACGTGATGTGCCGTGCGTGAGGATCGCGAAACCCACAATTAACCCCCATCCGCCCCCTCTCCCAGGGATACACTTCTTTTTAAAAAAATACGCACTTTTATTTTTTAGTGAGATTTAGTTTCGTCGCGTTTGCATCCTTTCCCTTGAGCTTCACAACGATTATCATCACCACCATCGTCATCACCACCATAATCACCACCATCGTCATCACCACCATAATCACCATCATCATCACCACCATAATCACCATCATCCTCACCATCATCTTCATCACCATCATCACGAAACATCATCACCACCATCACCACTGTCATCATCACCATCACCACCATCGTCACCACCATCATCATCCTCACCATCATCATCATCCTCACCATCATCACCATAAACACCATCACAATCATCACCATCACCACCATCGTCATCACCACCATCATCATCACCACCATAATCACCACCATCATCATCATCACCACCATCATCATCACCATTGTCATCATCACCATTGTCATCACCACCAAAGTCACCATCATAATCATCATCACCACCATCGTCATCACCACCAAAATCACCATCATAATCATCATCACCACCATCGTCATCACCATCATCATCATCACCACCATAATCACCATCATCCTCACCATCATCATCTTCATCACCATCATCACCATCATCACCACTGTCATCATTACCATCGCCACCATCTTCATCACCACCATCGTCATCACCACTGTCATCATCACCACTATCATCACCATCATCACCACTGTCATCCCCATCATCACCACCATCGTCATCATCACCATAATCATCACCATCATCACCATCATCATCATCACCACCATAATCACCACCATCATCATAATCACCATCATCATCACCATCACCATAATCAGCATCATCATCGTCACCACCATCATCATCATCCTCACCATCATCATCCTCACCATCAACACCATCATCACCACCATCGTCATCACCACCATAATCATCATCACCATCATCACGATCATCACCACCATCACCACTGTCATCACCATCACCACCATCTTCATCACCACCATCGTCATCACCACCATCGTTATCACCACCATAATCACCACCATCATCATCATCATCCTCACCATCATCATCCTCACCATCAACACCATCATCACCATCATCAGTCATCATCACCATCAACACCATCAACACCATCATCACCATCATCATCACCACCATCTTCATCACCACCATCTTCATCACCACCATCTTCATCACCATCATCACCATCATCACCATCATCATCATCACCACCATAATCACCACCATCATCATAATCACCATCATCATCACCATCACCATAATCAGCATCATCATCGTCACCACCATCATCATCATCCTCACCATCATCATCCTCACCATCAACACCATCATCACCACCATCGTCATCACCACCATAATCATCATCACCATCATCACGATCATCACCACCATCACCACTGTCATCACCATCACCACCATCTTCATCACCACCATCGTCATCACCACCATCGTTATCACCACCATAATCACCACCATCATCATCATCATCCTCACCATCATCATCCTCACCATCAACACCATCATCACCATCATCAGTCATCATCACCATCAACACCATCAACACCATCATCACCATCATCATCACCACCATCTTCATCACCACCATCTTCATCACCACCATCTTCATCACCATCATCACCATCATCATCATTACCATCTTCGTCATTAGCATCATCATCACCACTATCATCATCACCATCATCATCACCACTGTCATCATTATCATCATCACCACTATCATCACCACTGTCACCATCATCATCATTATCATCATCATCACCACCATCCCCTTCATCATCACCATCATCCCCATCATCACCACTGTCATCATCACCACTATCATCACCATCATCACCACTGTCACCATCATCATCACTGTCACCATCATCATTATCATCATCATCACCACCATCCCCTTCATCATCACCATCATCCCCATCATCACCACTGTCATCATCCCCATCATCACCACTGTCATCATCACCACTATCATCACCATCATCACGACTGGCACCATCATCATCACTGTCACCATCATCATTATCATCACCATCATCATCACCACCATCCCCTTCATCATCACCATCATCCCCATCATCACCACTGTCATCATCACCACTATCATCACCATCATCACCACTGTCACCATCATCATCACTGTCACCATCATCATTATCATCACCATCATCATCACCACCATCCCCTTCATCATCACCATCATCCCCATCATCACCACTGTCATCATCACCACTATCATCACCATCATCATCACTGTCGCCATCATCACCACTGTCACCATCATCATTATCATCACCATCATCATCACCAACATCCCCTTTATCATCACCATCATCCCCATCATCACCACTGTCATCATCCCCATCATCACCACTGTCATCATCACCACTATCATCACCATCATCACCACTGTCACCATCATTATCATCACCATCATCATCACCACCAACATCCCCTTTATCATCACCATCATCCCCATCATCACCACTGTCATCATCCCCATCATCACCACTGTCATCATCACCACTATCATCACCATCATCACCACTGTCACCATCATCATCACTGTCACCATCATCACTATCATCATCATCATCATCACCACCATCCCCTTCATCATCACCATTATCCCCATCATCACCACTGTCATCATCCCAATCATCACCACTGTTATCATCACCACTGTCATCACCATCATCACCACTGTCACCGTCATCATTATCATCACCATCATCATCATCACCACCATCCTCTTCATCATCACCATCATCCCCATCATCACCACTGTCATCATCACCACTTTCATCACCATCATCACCACTGTCACCATCATCACCACTGTCACCATCATCATTATCATCATCACCATCATCATCACCACCTTCCCCTTTATCATCACCATCATCCCCATCATCACCACTGTCATCAGCCCATCATCACCACTGTCATCATTACCACTATCATCACCATCATCACCACTGTCACCATCATCATCACTGTCACCATTATCATTATCATCATCACCATCATCATTATCATCATCAAAACCATCCCCTTCATCATCACCATCATCCCCATCATCACCACTGTCATCATCCCCATCATCACCACTGTCATCATCACCACTATCATCACCATCATCACCACTGTCACCATCATCACTGTCACCATCATCATTATCATCATCATCACCACCATCCCCTTCATCATCACCACTGTCACCATCATCATCAGGAGGCTCGAGCTCTCCAGCCGGTACAACAATTGTGGACTCCGTCTGTTCCATCGGCTGCTCTGGTTTCCTCCCAAGTGTAAACATTCCATTGTCAGATAACACCTTGATATGTAGAGGAACGCAGAGCTTAAACAATGTTGGTGGTGCCAACTCGTCGCTTGACTACTGCTGCCTTCCTGCTCCTATTCTGCGGTCCCTCCTCCTGGCGCTTCTGAGTCGTCCTCTCTCTCTCTGAGTCGTCCTCTCTCTCTGAGTCGTCCTCTTTCTCTCTCTGAGTCGTCCTCTCTCTCTGAGTCGTCCTCTCTCTCTGAGTCGTCCTCTCTCTCTGAGTCGTCCTTTCTCTCTGAGTCGTCCTTTCTCTCTGAGTCGTCCTCTCTCTCTGAGTCGTCCTTTCTCTCTGAGTCGTCCTTTCTCTCTGAGTCGTCCTCTCTCTCTGAGTCGTCCTCTCTCTCTGAGTCGTCCTCTCCCTCTCTCTGAGTCGTCCTTTCTCTCTCTGAGTCGTCCTTTCTCTCTCTGAGTCGTCCTCTCTCTCTCTGAGTCGTTCTCTCTCTCTGAGTCGTCCTTTCTCTCTGAGTCGTCCTCTCTCTGAGTCGTCCTCTCTGAGTCGTCCTCTCTCTCTCTGAGTCGCCCTCTCTGAGTCGTCCTCTCTCTCTCTGAGTCGCCCTCTCTCTCTGAGTCGTCCTCTCTCTCTGAGTCATCCTCTCTCTCTGAGTCACCCTCTCTCTCTGAGTCGTCCTCTCTCTCTGAGTCGTCCTCTCTCTGAGTCATCCTCTCTCTCTGAGTCGTCCTCTCTCTCTGAGTCGTCCTCTCTCTCTCTGAGTCGCCCTCTCTCTCTGAGTCGTCCTCTCTGAGTCGTCCTCTCTCTCTCTGAGTCGTCCTCTCTCTCTGAGTCGTCCTCTCTCTCTCTGAGTCGTCCTCTCTGAGTCGTCCTCTCTGAGTCACCCTCTCTCTCTGAGTTGTCCTCTCTCTCTGAGTCGTCCTCTCTCTCTGAGTCGTCCTCTCTTAGTCGTCCTCTCTGAGTCGTCCTCTCTCTCTGAGTCGTCCTCTCTGAGTCGTCCTCTCGTCCTCTCTGAGTCGCCCTCTCTGAGTCGTCCTCTCTCTCTCTGAGTCGTCCTCTCTCTGAGTCGTCCGCTCTCTTTCTCGGAGTCGTCCGCTCTCTCTCTCAGTCGTCCTCTCTCTCTCAGTCGTCCTCTCTCTCTCTCTGAGTCGTCCTCTCTCTGAGTTGTCCTCTCTCTCTGAGTCGTCCTCTCTCTCTGAGTCGTCCTTTCTCTATCTCTGAGTCGTCCTCTCTCTCTGAGTCGTCCTCTCTCTCTGAGTCGTCCTTTCTCTCTCTCTCTCTGAGTCGTCCTCTCTCTCTCTGAGTCGTCCTCTCTCTCTATCCGAGTCGTCCTCTCTCTCTCCGAGTCGTCCTCTCTCTCTCTCTCTCTGGGTGGTGGGTAGCGGGGGGTTGTTGGCTCTCTCCATCTACGACGATGTCACGGCGCTCCGCCCACACCGCTGTCCGTCGTGTAGCGCTCATCTCTGTCGGGAGGGGGGCGGGGCGCGTGGCCGTGCTCGTTTCGCCGTCTGCGAGTTTTCCTTCCCGCTCTCATCTGGTTCGCTTCGTTATCCTGCAGAAGCCGTGAGCGAGGATGGCGGCGACCAGGCCTACGGAGCTCCGGGCAAGGTACGGTGGCACGCTGACCGACGACCCGTCAGCCTCGAACCGGATCACAAACATCAACCCCTCCCGTTGTCCTCGCCCTGCACGCCCTGCGCCGGTGGCTCGCTCTGTGTGTGTGTGCACCACCGATGAGTCCCGCCTCTCCCTCGTCACGTGGCGGTGACGTCACCGCGGAGCTCGTGCCAGGCTAGGTTGCTCTCTTAGGAGGCCACGTGAAGTGTGGGATACCACGATGACACGAGGCCACGGGACAGAGGCAGGGTGCCAAGGGGTTTTGGCTGACACGATTGGCTGGCTCGCTCGCTCGCTCGCAGTCACCCAGGGACGAGTGTCGGGTGAGAAGATTGCCGATTTCTATTGTTGTCACGTTCAGAATGTTGCGAGCTTTTGCATGCAGCTGGCACGAACATTACGGGCACGGCCCTCCCCCCATCACGCCAAGGGCGCCCCCCAGTGGCAGATGTCCCTGTGCGGCTCAAGGTAGCACAGCGCCCGGCCTAAAATCTGGCACGAGTCTACCAGGAGTGTGTGGGATTGGGGAGGAGGAGGGGGTATTGCTGCCTGCTGCGTGTGCTTGCGAGATGCCACTCGTGTGTCTTACTACATATGTAGTAGTAGCTTCTACAAATGTACGTAGTAGTAGCTACATATGTAGTAGTAGCTACTACTACATATGTAGTAGTAGCTTCTACAAATGTACGTAGTAGTAGCTACTACTACATATGTAGTAGTAGCTTCTACAAATGTACGTAGTAGTAGCTACTACTACATATGTAGTAGTAGCTTCTACATATGTAGTAGTAGCTACATATGTAGTAGTAGCTACTACTACATATGTAGCTACTACTACATATGTATATGTAGCTACTACTACATATGTAGTAGCTACATATGTAGTAGTAGCTACTACTACATATGTAGTAGTAGCTACTACTAGTACTACATATGTAGTAGTAGCTACTACTAGTAGCTACTACTACATATGTAGTAGTAGCTACATATGTAGTAGTAGCTACTACATATGTAGCTACTACGACATATGTAGTAGTAGCTACTACATATGTAGTAGTAGCTACATGTGTAGTAGTAGCTACTACTACACATGTAGTAGTAGCTACTACTACATATGTAGTAGTAGGTTCTACATATGTAGTAGTAGCTACTACTACATATGTAGTAGTAGGTTCTACATATGTAGTAGTAGCTACATGTGTAGTAGTAGCTACTACTACACATGTAGTAGTAGCTACTACATATGTAGTAGTAGGTTCTACATATGTAGTAGTAGTAGCTACTACTACATCTGTAGTAGTAGCTACTACATACTACCTACATATGTAGTAGTAGCTATGGGCCCCGCACTTTCAAGGACCCCGCTCTAAATGCTTCAAGCTATCAATTCCGGTTCAGTGATTCTGCACTTGCTCTATTACTATAGTACTAGACCGCCTTCGACTTTTATGAATGACCAGGTGTTTTAAGGTTAGCGATTTGTCGTATTTCCGGCTGTATAGCAAGTGAAAAAATACAATTACTTTACCATGCAAGTTAAAAATTTGTGTTTTAATATTTGTTTTTTTAAATTTAGGGTCCCTTTATAACAACACATCTTACAGGCCCCCGCACCTCGATTAATCTGGCACTGGTTCTCCGTCGCGTACACGGCGAGCCAATTTGGCCCCGGTGTGCGCATTTACCGGTTAAGTGCGCGCGGGTCGCCGGTATTGACCGGGGCGGCTCGCCTGATCCGCACCGCGCTCCGGCCGTGCGCGGCCCTCCTTCCCCAGGACGGCAAGATGGGGGAGCGGCGCTCCGGCCTTCCCAAGCCGACCGCCATCCCCAAGCCCATCCCGGCCACCGCTGCCGCCGCCGCCACCACCACCACCGGCACAAAGACCGGCACGCCCGCCCGCCCCACAAGTGAGAACGCTCACACTCGCTCGCTCACACTCGCTCGCTCACACTCGCTCGCTCACACTCGCTCGCTCACACTCGCTCGCTCACTTGCTCACTCGCTCACACTCGCTCACACGCTCACTCACTCGGCCACTCACTCGGTCACTCACTCACACTCGCTAATCTGCTCACTCACTCACACTCGCTCACTCACACTCGCTCACTCAGTCACTTAATCTCACTCGCTCACACTCGCTCACGCTCGCTCGCTCACCTTCGCTCACTCACTCGCTCACACTCGCTCACTATCTCTCACTCACTCACTCGGTCACTCACTCACACTCACAAATTTGCTCACTCTCTCACACTCGCTCATTCATACTCGCTCACTCACAATCGCACACTCACTCACTATCACTCAATAACGCTCGCTCGCTCATGCTCACTCGCTCACTCACACTCGCTCACTCACACTCGCTCACTCACTCACTCTCTCACACTCGCTCTCTCACACTCACTCACTCACTCGCTCACTCACTCGCCCTCTCACACTCGCTCACTCACTCGCTCACTCACTCGCTCACTCACTCGCTCACCCACTCGCTCACTCACTCGCTCTTTCACTCGCTCACACACTTGCTCTCTCACACTCGCTCACTCACTCGCTCACTCACTCGCTCACTCACACTCGCTCACTCACTCGCTCTCTCACACTCACAAATTTGCTCACTCTCTCACACTCGCTCATTCATACTCGCTCTCTCACACTCGCTCACTCACTCGCTCACCCACTCGCTCACTCACTCGCTCTCTCACTCGCTCACACACTCGCTCACTCACTCGCTCACCCACTCGCTCACTCACTCGCTCTCTCACTCACTCACACACTTGCTCTCTCACACTCGCTCACTCGCTCACTCACTCACTCTCTCACTCGCTCACTCACTCGCTCTCTCACTCGCTCTCTCACTCGCTCACTCACTCGCTCACCCACTCGCTCACTCACTCGTTCACTCACTCGCTCACTCATTCGCTCACTCACACTCGTTCACTTCACTCGCTCACTCACTCGTTCTCTCACACTCGCTCACTCACTCGCTCTCTCACACTTGCTCACTCACACTCGCTCACTCACTCGCTCACTCACTCGCTCTCTCACACTCGCTCACTCACTCGCTCTCTCACTCGCTCACTCACTCGCTCTCTCACACTCGCTCTCTCACAGTCACTCACTCACTCGCTCACTCACTCGCTCTCTCACTCGCTCTCACACTCGCTCACTCACTCGCTCACTCACACTCACTCACTCGCTCACTCACTCGCTCTCTCACACTCACAAATTTGCTCACTCTCTCACACTCGCTCATTCATACTCGCTCTCTCACACTCGCTCACTCACTCGCTCACCCACTCGCTCACTCACTCGCTCTTTCACTCGCTCACACACTTGCTCTCTCACACTCGCTCACTCACTCGCTCACTCACTCACTCGCTCTCTCACTCGCTCACACACTTGCGCCCTCACACTCGCTCTCTCACACTCGCTCACTCACTCGCTCTCTCACACTCGCTCACTCACACTCGCTCACTCACTTGCTCGCTCACTCATTCGCTCACTCACTTGCTCACTCACTCGCTCTCTCACACTCACTCACTCACTTGCTCTCTCACACTCACTCACTCACTTGCTCTCACACTCACTCACTCACTCGCTCTCTCACTCGCTCACTCACACTCACTCACTCGCTCACTCACTCGCTCACTCACTCGCTCTCTCACACTCGCTCACTCACTCGCTCACTCACTCGCTCACTCACTTGCTCACTCACTCGCTCTCTAACTCTCGCTCACTCACTCGCTCACTCACTCGCTCTCTCACACTCACTCACTCACTCGCTCACTCACTCGCTCTCTCACACTCGCTCACTCACTTGCTCACTCACTCGCTCACTCACACTCGCTCACTCACTCGCTTTCTCACACTTGCTCACTCACTCGCTCACTCACACTCCCTCACTCGCTGTCTCACACTCGCTCACCCACTCGCTCACCCACTCGCTCACTCACTCGCTCTCTCACACTCGCTCACTCACTCGCTCACATTCACTCACACACTCTCACTCACTCACACACTCTTACTCACTCACATTCACTCGCTCACTCTCACTTACTCGCTCATTCACTCTTGTTCACTCACACTCGCTCACTCATTCACTCTCGCTCACTCATTCGCACTCACTCTCACTTGCACTCACTCTCACACGCCGTTCACAGTCGCTCACCCGTATAGTCTCAACAGACTTGGGGCAAGTGTTGAAAGCGAGTAACACCTATAAAGGCCAGCACGCCGTATGAGGGGGTGGGTGACCAGCACCACACCCCTCTCCCCTCTCTCCCCTCTCACCCCACACTCCTCCCCTCTCTCCCCTCTCCCGTCTCCCCTCTCCCCTCTCTCCCCTCTCTCCCCTCTCACCCCACACTCCTCCCCTCTCTCCCCTCTCTCCACTCTCTCCTGTCCCCTCTCACCTCTCTCCCCTCTCTCCCCTCTCACCCCACACTCCTCCCCTCTCTCCCCTCTCACCTCTCTCCCCTCTCTCCCCTCTCGCCCCACACTCCTTCCCTCTCTCCACTCTCCCGTCTCCCCCCTCCTCTCTCCTCCCCTCTCTCCCCTCTCTCCCCTCTCGCCCCTCTCTCCACTCTCCCGTCTCCCCTCTCACCTCTCTCCCCTCTCTCCCCGCTCGCCCCACACTCCACTCTCCCCTCTCCCCTCTCTCCCCTCTCTCCACTCTCCCCTCTCCCCTCTCACCTCTCTCCCCTCTCTCCTCTACACTCTCCCCTCTCTCCCCTCTCTCCACTCTCTCCTCTCCCCTCTCACCTCTCTCCCCTCTCTCCTCTACACTCTCCCCTCTCTCCCCTCTCTTCACTCTCTCCTCTCCCCTCTACACTCTCTCCCCTCTCCCCTCTCTCCCCTCTCTCCACTCTCTCCTCTCCCCTCTCCCCTCTCTCCCCTCTCTCCTCTACACTCTCCCCTCTCTCCCCTCTCTTCACTCTCTCCTCTCCTCTCTCCACTCTCCCCTTTCACCTCTCTCCCCTCTCTCCCCTCTCCCCTCTCACCCCGCAGGCATCACCTCGCCACCGCAGGGAGCAGCGTCAGCACGGGGCGGCGGCGGCGGCGGCGCCAGCTCCTCGCAGCCGTCATCAGCGGCATCGTCGGCGGCGGGGGGCGGGGGAGGCGGGGGAGGCGGGGGAGGGAAGAGTTCGTCGTCGTCGTCGTCGAAGCCGTCGCGACCCCGCAAGAAGAGCGGCACCACGACCCCCACGACCCCGGGCACTCCCGGGAGCCTCAACCACTGGAGCGGGATCCTCACCCCGCTGAGCCGCCCCCACTCCACGCCCACGCCCGTGCGGTGAGCCGGGGGGGGTGTGGGGCTGGGGGGCACGGGGGGGTGTGGGTCAGTGGGGCGGAGGGGGAGCGTGGGGGAGCGTGGGGGGAGAGTTACAGGTGCCCCCCTCCCCACCCGTGCCCCCTCCCCTCTCCACCCCCCACCCGTGCCCCCCCCCTCTCCACCCCCCACCCGTGCCCCCCCCTCTCCACCCCCCACCCGTGCCCCCCCCTCTCCCCACCCCCCTCCCTCAAGGCCCCCGCCCCCATCAACAAATTTTTTGTTCGATATTCAAATGAGCAAAGTAAAAAAAAATCCATTAATTACATAAAATATAGCAATATAGGGTGATGCGTACGTGTGTGTGTGTACGTGTCTGTGTATACGTGTGTGTGTTTACGTGTGTGTGTTTACGTGTGTGTGTTAGCGTGTGTGTGTTAGCGTGTGTGTTAGCGTGTGTGTGTTAGCGTGTGTGTGTATACGTGTGTGTATACGTATACGTGTGTGTATACGTGTCTGTGTCTACGTCTGTCCGTCTGCTACAGCAGAGGTGTAGGGAATTCCAACAAGACCTACATCTCTGCTTTATTGACCTGGTCAAGGCCTATGATACCATCAGTAGGCCTGGGCTCTGGGTCGTTCTTCATGCTTTTGGAGTACCTGACCCTCTGCTCACGATCATTAAGGACCTTCATGATGGTGAGCGGGCCCGGGTAAAACTACGTGGCCGGGAGTCAGAGTCATTCCCTGTACACCTTGGGGTGCGACAGGGATGTCCTCTGGCTCCCACATTATTTAACATCTATTTTGACCACGTAGTTCGTGAAGCCTTCAATAGCTGTACCGGGGGAATCTCCATATGGTACAGATATAATGGGAGGCTAATCGATGCCCGGGTGCGGTCAAGGGATGGCTCCCTATTGCTCAACCACGTTATGTATGCTGATGATTTGGTAATAGCTGCTCAGTCAGAGGAGGAGTTGGAGACGCTGCTGCTGAGACTGGAGCGTGCCACTAAGAGGTGGGGCCTTACCATCAGCCCCACCAAAACTAAGCACCTGCCTGGGTATTTTGTACCATCGGACACTCCACCCCCACAACTCCCAATCGGTGATGGGGTAGTTGTGGAGAGAGTGGAGAGTTTCCCATACCTGGGCAGTGTGCTTATGACTGGCTCCAGTTTAACAGCAGAGGTCTCACTCCGAATCAGTCGAGCGGCAATATCTTTTCATCGGTTGCGTAACGCTGTGTGGAAGCTACCTGGTCTGTCGCTCCGCACTAAGCTTCAGGTCTTCTCGGCCACGGTCATTCCCTCCCTTCTCTACGCTTGCGAAACGTGGACCCCCCTAATGGAACATCTTCGCCGGTTAGAAACATTTAGGCTGGCCTGCCTACGATCCATCCTGGGTTTAACCAGACTGGATTGTGTGAGGAGCTCACAAATCCTTGAAAGATCTGGGCAGGGTCCCATCGGTGAGCTCCTCCGGCAGGCAAGGCTGCGATGGCTGGGTCATGTAGCCCGCATGCCCAGCCACCGCATGCCGAAACAGCTTTTGTTTGGCCGGATTGAGGGGGCTAAGCGGGCGCGGCACGGGCTAGAGAAGAGATGGAGTGATGTGGTACAGGAGGACGTGGAGCTGAGTGGACTTGCCGATGACTGGTACCAGCGGTGTCAAGATCGGCCTCTGTGGAGGAGGCTCGTGAAGGATGCTACTGGGCAGTTGGAGGCAGTCGCCCTCCAACAACAACGGAGGGCGGAGGAGCGACGCTCGCAACAGCGAGCGGAGCGCCGGGTGGCTAAAGCACAGCAGGTTGGCACAGTAGGGGGCACAGGTGGTGCATCAGCCAGTCATCTCAGTCAGTCGACCCGTGGCACCTGGGTCTGCCCCGTGACCTCCTGCCAGCGGGCGTTCGACACTTCACGTGGCCTCAGGGTGCACATGGCCTGGCACAAGCGTCGTGGTGACGTCACCGCCACTTAGTGGCGAATGGCGGTTGTTGTTGTTAGCGTGTGTGTGTACGTGTGTGTACGTGTGTTTGTGTACGTGTGTGTGTTAGCGTGTGTGTGTTAGCGTGTGTGTGTACGTGTGTGTGTATACGTGTGTGTGTTAGCGTCTGTGTGTGTGTGTGTGTACGTGTCTGTGTTAGTGTGTGTATACGTGTCAGTGTGTGTGTGTTAGCGTGTGTGTGTGTGTTAGCGTCTGTGTGTGTGTGTGTGTGTACGTGTCTGTGTGTGTGTGTGTACGTGTCTGTGTGTGTGTGTGTACGTGTCTGTGTGTGTGTGTGTTAGCGTGCCGCGCTTCTACCAACTCCACGGCACGAGGTTCGATTCCCGCCCGCGGCCAACGCCAGCGACGTTTATCTGAACCGCCCCTCGGCCTCCCCTAGGTCGACTCAGCCTTTAAGCGAGCACCCCCCGGTGCCGTGCCTCATACATCGGCACCGGGGAGACAAAGGCGGCCGGGCGCGGCGCGGTGCCGGGGCTCCTGAAGCGCCGGCCATCAACTGTCGCCCCGACAGCCCGTCAAAGGCCTCCTGTTGTGTTTGTGCGCGTCGCAGGGACAAGGTGGCGATCATTCGATCGGCGCCCCGCGCCGCTCGACCCCGCGAGGTCACGACCCCTCCGGCCCAGCTCGACCTCTCACACGTGCGCTCTAAGATATCCTCCCACGGCAACGGCAAACACCAGCCTGCTGAGGGGCAGGTGGGGGCGGGGGAGGGGGGCAGGTGGGGGAGGGGCAGGTGGGGGCAGGGGAGGGGGGCAGGTAGGGGAGGGGGGCAGGTGGGGGTCTCAGCTTGGTAGTGGGGGGTCTCTGGGTTCAGGTGGAGGGTCTCTAGGTTCAGGTGGGGGGGGTCTCTGGGTTCAGGTGGGGGGTCTCTGGGTTCAGGTGAAGGTCTCTGGGTTCAGGTGGGGGGTCTCTGGGTTCAGGTGGAGGGTCTCTGGGTTCAGGTGGGGGGGTCTCTGGGTTCAGGTGGAGGGTCTCTGGGTTCAGGTGGGGGGTCTCTGGGTTCAGGTGGGGGTCTCTGGGTTCAGGTGGAGGGTCTCTGGGTTCAGGTGGAGGGTCTCTGGGTTCAGGTGGAGGGTCTCTGGGTTCAGGTGGGGGGTCTCTGGGTTCAGGTGGGGGGGGTCTCTGGGTTCAGGTGGAGGGTCTCTGGGTTCAGGTGGAGGGTCTCTGGGTTCAGGTGGGGGGTCTCTGGGTTCAGGTGGGGGGGGTCTCTGGGTTCAGGTGGAGGGTCTCTGGGTTCAGGTGGGGGGTCTCTGGGTTCAGGTGGGGGGGGTCTCTGGGTTCACGTGGAGGTCTCTGGGTTCAGGTGGGGGGTCTCTGGGTTCAGGTGGGGGTCTCTGGGTTCAGGTGGGGGTCTCTGGGTTCAGGTGGGGGTCTCTGGGTTCAGGTGGGGGGTCTCTGGGTTCAGGTGGGGGTCTCTGGGTTCAGGTGGGGGTCTCTGGGTTCAGGTGAGGGGGGGTCTCTGGGTTCAGGTGGGGGGTCTCTGGGTTCAGGTGGGGGTCTCTGGGTTCAGGTGAGGGGGGGTCTCTGGGTTCAGGTGGGGGGTCTCTGGGTTCAGGTGGGGGTCTCTGGGTTCAGGTGAGGGGGGGTCTCTGGGTTCAGGTGGGGGGTCTCTGGGTTCAGGTGGGGGGGGGTCTCTGGGTTCACGTGGAGGTCTCTGGGTTCAGGTGGGGGGTCTCTGGGTTCAGGTGGGGGTCTCTGGGTTCAGGTGGGGGTCTCTGGGTTCAGGTGTGGGTCTCTGGGTTCAGGTGGGGGGTCTCTGGGTTCAGGTGGGGGTCTCTGGGTTCAGGTGGGGGTCTCTGGGTTCAGGTGGGGGTCTCTGGGTTCAGGTGAGGGGGGGTCTCTGGGTTCAGGTGGGGGGTCTCTGGGTTCAGGTGGGGGTCTCTGGGTTCAGGTGAGGGGGGGTCTCTGGGTTCAGGTGGGGGGTCTCTGGGTTCAGGTGGGGGTCTCTGGGTTCAGGTGAGGGGGGGGTCTCTGGTTCAGGGTGGGGGGTCTCTGGGTTCAGGTGAGGGGGGGTCTCTGGGTTCAGGTGGGGGTCTCTGGGTTCACGTGGAGGTCTCTGGGTTCAGGTGGGGGTCTCTGGGTTCAGGTGGGGGTCTCTGGGTTCACGTGGGGGTCTCTGGGTTCAGGTGGGGGTCTCTGGGTTCAGGTGGGGGGGTCTCTGGGTTCACGTGGAGGTCTCTGGGTTCACGTGGGGGGTCTCTGGGTTCAGGTGGGGGTCTCTGGGTTCACGTGGGGCTCTCAGCTTTGTGGTGTGGTTTGTCACGGGGCTCTGCGACTCTTCAGCGCCACCCGCTGGCCGCCGCCGGCTCGTGAGTGCAAGGGCAGCGGCCTCCACAGTTCCAGTCTGCCGTGGGGCTCCAAGCAGCGGGGTCAGGCCGGGGTCAGGTCGGGGTCAGGTCGGGGTCAGGCCGGGGTCAGGCCGGGGTCAGGTCGGGGTCAGGTTGTGAGCGGCACGAGCCGCAGTGTTAACCAGCGATCGCTCACCCGCAGTGTTAACCAGTGATCGCTCACCCGCAGTGTTAACCAGCGATCACTCACCCGTAGTGTTAACCAGCGATCAGTCACCCGCAGTGTTAACCAGTGATCACTCACCCGCAGTGTTAACCAGCGATCACTCACCCGCAGTGTTAACCAGCGATCACTCACCCGCAGTGTTAACCAGTGATCGCTCACCCGCAGTGTTAACCAGCGATCACTCACCCGCAGTGTTAACCAGCGATCACTCACCTGCAGTGTTAACCAGCGATCACTCACCCGCAGTGTTAACCAGCGATCACTCACCCGCAGTGTTAACCAGCGATCACTCACCCGCAGTGTTAACCAGCGATCACTCACCCGCAGTGTTAACCAGCGATCACTCACCCGCAGTGTTAAGCAGCGATCACTCACCTGCAGTGTTAACCAGCGATCGCTCACCCGCAGTGTTAACCAGTGATCACTCACCCGCAGTGTTAACCAGCGATCACTCACCCGCAGTGTTGACCAGCGATCGCTCACCCGCAGTGTTAACCAGTGATCGCTCACCCCCAGTGTTAACCAGCGATCAGTCACCCGCAGTGTTAACCAGCGATCACTCACCCGCAGTGTTAACCAGCGATCACTCACCCACAGTGTTAACCAGCGATCGCTCACCCGCAGTGTTAACCAGCGATCGCTCACCCCCAGTGTTAACCAGCGATCGCTCACCCGCAGTGTTAACCAGCGATCGCTCACCCCCAGTGTTAACCAGCGATCGCTCACCCGCAGTGTTAACCAGCGATCGCTCACCCCCATTGTTAACCAGCGATCGCTCACCCCCAGTGTTAACCAGCGATCAGTCACCCGCAGTGTTAACCAGCGATCAGTCACCGGCAGTGTTAACCAGCGATCAGTCACCCGCAGTGTGAACCAGTGATCGCTCACCCGCAGTGTTAACCAGCGATCACTCACCCGCAGTGTTAACCAGCGATCACTCACCCGCAGTGTTAACCAGCGATCACTCACCCGCAGTGTTAACCAGCGATCACTCACCCGCAGTGTTAAGCAGCGATCACTCACCTGCAGTGTTAACCAGCGATCGCTCACCCGCAGTGTTAACCAGTGATCACTCACCCGCAGTGTTAACCAGCGATCACTCACCCGCAGTGTTGACCAGCGATCGCTCACCCGCAGTGTTAACCAGTGATCGCTCACCCCCAGTGTTAACCAGCGATCAGTCACCCGCAGTGTTAACCAGCGATCACTCACCCGCAGTGTTAACCAGCGATCACTCACCCACAGTGTTAACCAGCGATCGCTCACCCGCAGTGTTAACCAGCGATCGCTCACCCCCAGTGTTAACCAGCGATCGCTCACCCGCAGTGTTAACCAGCGATCGCTCACCCCCAGTGTTAACCAGCGATCGCTCACCCGCAGTGTTAACCAGCGATCGCTCACCCCCATTGTTAACCAGCGATCGCTCACCCCCAGTGTTAACCAGCGATCAGTCACCCGCAGTGTTAACCAGCGATCAGTCACCGGCAGTGTTAACCAGCGATCAGTCACCCGCAGTGTGAACCAGCGATCGCTCCCCCCCACCAGCTCGCTTGCTAATCCACGGGCGCGTGTCCCACGCAGACGCAGGTCTTCAGTGAGAAGCAGGACTACAGCCACGTGAACTCCAAGTGCAACTCCATGGCCAACCTGAGGCACTCGCCCGGCGGAGGGAATGTGAGTGTACGCTCTCTCTGTTCACTCACCCCCCCTCACCCCCCCCTCACCCCCCCTCCCCCCCCCCCCTCACCCCCCCCCTCACCCCCCTCGTCGAAACTTTTGTTTTGTGTAAAAACAAATTTTCCCATGTTGGGTAGTGGATGGTCTTGCGAAAGGACATTGACAACGTGTACATCAACATCATCATCATTATTATTATTGCTGCGGCGATAGAAAACATTTAATGTCGTCTTTTTTTCTCCTCCGGGTGCAAATCTCGTTGTCACCGTCGTTTTGCTGCGACCGGTGAGAGGGGGGGGGGCGGGGGGGTTGCGGTGGTTTGAGTGAAAACGCGGTGCGGATTTTGCTGCCGACGGCCGGCGCTCTCCTCCTCGCCGGTGTGTCGTCTGTGCCGCCCGCGCATCCAGGTCCAGATCACCACGAAGAAGATCGACCTGTCCAACGTGAGCTCCAAGTGCGGCTCCTTCAACAACGTGCGACACAAGCCTGGTGCGTCGGCGCCGCCCCCCCGCCCCCCACCACCACCACCACCTCCCCCTCCCCGTGTCCTCGCGACGTGCACAAGCACAAACACATGCACACACGCACACAACAACAACCGCCATTCGCCACTAAGTGGCGGTGACGTCATCACGACGCTTTTTTTTCTCCAGAAACAACACGCACACACACACACACAAACACACGGACACACACATGCACACACGCACACACGCACACAACAACATGCACAACAACAACAACAGCCATTCGCCACTAAGTGGCGGTGACGTCACCACGACGCTTGTGCCAGGCCATGTGCACCTTGAGGCCACGTGAAGTGTCGAACGCCCGCTGGCAGGAGGTCACGGGGCAAGACCCAGGTGCCACGGGTCGACTGACTGAGATGACTGGCTGATGCACCACCTGTGCCCCCTACTGTGCCAACCTGCTGTGTTTTAGCCACCCGGCACTCCGCTCGTTGTTGTGAGCGTCGCTCCTCCGCCCTCCGTTGTTGTTGGAGGGCGACTGCCTCCAACTGCCCAGTAGCGTCCTTCACGAGCCTCCTCCACAGAGGCCGATCTTGACACCGCTGGTACCAGTCATCGGCAAGTCCACTCAGCTCCACGTCCTCCTGTACCACATCACTCCATCTCTTCTCTAGCCCGTGCCGCGCCCGCTTAGCCCCCTCAATCCGGCCGAACAAAAGCTGTTTCGGCATGCGGTGGCTGGGCATGCGGGCTACATGACCCAGCTATCGCAGCCTTGCCTGCCGGAGGAGCTCACCGATGGGACCCTGCCCAGATCTTTCAAGGATTTGTGAGCTCCTCACACAATCCAGTTTGGTTAAACCCAGGATGGATCGTAGGCAGGCCAGCCTAAATGTTTCTAACCGGCGAAGATGTTCCATTAGGGGGGTCCACGTTTCGCAAGCGTAGAGAAGGGAGGGAATGACCGTGGCCGAGAAGACCTGAAGCTTAGTGCGGAGCGACAGACCAGGTAGCTTCCACACAGCGTTACGCAACCGATGAAAAGATATTGCCGCTCGACTGATTCGGAGTGAGACCTCTGCTGTTAAACTGGAGCCAGTCATAAGCACACTGCCCAGGTATGGGAAACTCTCCACTCTCTCTACAACTGCCCCATCACCGATTGGGAGTTGTGGGGGTGGAGTGTCCGATGGTACAAAATACCCAGGCAGGTGCTTAGTTTTAGTGGGGCTGATGGTAAGGCCCCATCTCTTAGTGGCACGTTCCAGTCTCAGCAGCAGCGTCTCCAACTCCTCCTCTGAATGAGCAGCTATTACCAAATCATTGGCATACATAACGTGGATGAGCAATAGGGAGCCATCCCTTGACCGCACCCGGGCATCGATTAGCCTCTCATTATATCTGTACCAAATTGAGATTCCCCCGGTACAGCTATTGAAGGCTTTTACGAACTACGTGGTCAAAATAGATGTTAAATAATGTGGGGGCCAGAGGACATCCCTGTCACACCCCAAGGTGTACAGGGAATGGCTCTGACTGCCGGCCACGTAGTTTTACCCGGGCCCGCTCACCATCATGAAGGTCCTTAATGATCGTGAGCAGAGGGTCAGGGACTCCAAAAGCACGAAGAACAACCCAGAGCCCAGGCCTACTGATGGTATCATAGGCCTTGACCAGGTCAATAAAGCAGAGATGTAGGTCTTGTTGGAATTCCCTACACCTCTGCTGTAGCAGACGGACAGAAAATATGTCATCTGTGCAGCACCGCCCTTTCTTGAAACCGCATTGGGGCTCCGCAAGCCTCTCCTCAGCGTGCCTGGCAAGGCGATGTTGAATAATCCTTGCCAGGACCTTTCCCGGCAGACTGAGGAGTGAGATGCCCCTGTAGTTGTTACAGTCTGTGCGGTCCCCCTTCTTAAAGAGGGGGACCACCAGGGCATCCTTCCAATCCTGCGGAACCCGTCCACACACACACAGGCACACAACAACAACAACCGCCATTCGCCACTAAGTGGCGGTGACGTCACCACGACGCTTGTGCCAGGCTATGTGCACCGTGAGGCCACGTGAAGTGTCGAACGCCCGCTGGCAGGAGGTCACTGGGCAGACCCAGGTGGCACGGGTCGACTGACTGAGATGACTGAGATGACTGAGATGACAGGCACACACACACACGCACACACGCACACATACACACAAACACAAAGGTCCCCCACGTAGCCTTTAACCCCGTTCCCGTTCCGATGCACGTACGTCGTCGTGTTTACGTGCAGGCGCGGTTCGTCCGCTCGGGGCGTTGGGGCGCCGTCCCAACAAGCAGCTGGAGATGGGAAAAAAAAATTCCAATAGAAAATATTTCTCGATACATCTTCTTTGGTTCTTTCGGTAAAGTCACCACGTAGAATGAGAATAAAATAATAAATTGATAAAATAAAATAACACAATAATATTCTCACGACGTTTCGGCCACAACACAAGCGGCCTTCATCAGGTGAAGGGACGAGACTGTCTGGTAGTACAGCGCTGGAGTGAAAAAAGCCACGTTCAGATCACGACCTTTAAGCTGTGTCAGAAGAAACAAAGCGCCTTGACAAAGGAATTAGCATATAATTTAGCATTGAAATGGCCGAGTGATTAGCTTGTGACTGGTCACAGAAATGGCTATGTTAAAGTTAAAGCATACACATCCGCAGAGGCACCCCTTGACAAAGGAGTTAGCATAGAATTTAGCATTGAAATAGCTAAGTTAAAGCATACACATCCGCATTGCCTAATGAAGATAACATTTAAAGTTGTTCGTGTTAGAAACCGCTGCTACGCCGCAGTCTGAATTGTGCCTCGGGGAGGTGTCGGGGCGGCTGTGAAGGCGTCCTCCGAGTGAGAGAGATTTCCCCTTCGTTCGTTGCGATGATGAGCTTCGAGCATTGTAGCCACGCCGTTTGAGACCCCATTCAGGGTGGGTGAGGAAGGCGCCCGTGGCTGTAATGACGACGTCACGACGCGAGGTTGCACTGTGCAAACATAGCAGCTCACGGCTTGCACCCTCTCGGCTTTTGGCAGTGTCAAATGTGTTGTGTAGTGTGGGCTTGAGGACCGCGAGGACAGCGTTTGAGTGCTATGTTGTTTTGTTTCGCCTTGTTTATAAATGCCTCACCGTTGGTAGATAAGACAGTTGCATCGCTTTCACGGGCAGGCCAATAACACGACGAGGTTTTCCCTTGTTAGAACACCGAATATTCAGAGGTCACTCACAACAGCGCCATCTAGCGGAGAGGTCACGAGACGCCACTGGGTACCTGTACGTTGCCATGTGTACGTGTCCACGTTGCTACGTCACCGTACACGTGTTACGTCATCGTACGCGTGTTACGTCATCGTACACGTGTTACGTCATCGTACACGTGTTACGTCATCGTACACGTGTTACGTCATCGTACACGTGTTACGTCATCGTACGCGTGTTACGTCATCGTACGCGTGCTACGTCATCGTACACGTGTTACATCATCGTACACGTGCTACGTCATCGTACACGTGTTACGTCATCGTACGCGTGTTACGTCATCGTACACGTGTTACGTCGCCCTACAACGCGTCGTGCGTCATCGGAACGGCATCGGAGGTGAAAGGCCACGCGGGACGGCGCCTGGCACCAGTTTTGTCGCCGGCGATCGTAGAGCGGCGTCGGTGGCGCCGCTGCGGTTCTCCGCGGTGAGTAACGGCGTCTTGAAAATCAACGGCGCCGCTGCTGCTACGCCTCTCTAAGTGACTTGAACGCCGAGCCGCTCGCGCGTACCCAGGATTCTGCGGCGGACGGGGAGACGCGCCCACCCGCCCCGCGACTTGCAGTGCGTCTCGGAACAGGAGAGGATTAGCCGGCTGCTAGGGCGGGCGCCGTTAGTGAGCGGCAGCCGGCGCCTACGAAGGCCGGCACGGCGCATGAGGGTGGGGAGGGGTGGTGGGTGGCCAGCACTTCCCCCGGCGCGCTGCACCACGAACACGGACACCCGAGTCCAACCGGTCCCGCGTCTCCCCTTCGTCACCGCGGCCTCTCCGATGAGGCCGCGTCAACATCCGCCACGCGTGGTCCCGGCCGCCCTCTGCCCCCCCACTCCGTCGGCGCCGTAGGCGTTCACGGCACTCGGCCCGACAAACATTTCCGCTGAGGCCACGCGCGTTGGGGGGGATCTTTGTCTTCGTGCAGGCGGAGGGAACGTGCAGATCCAGAGCCACAAGCTCGAGTTCAAGGATAAGGCCAAGTCCAAGGTGGGGTCCTTGGACAACACGACCCACACGCCCGGCGGAGGCAACATCAAGGTAACGTGGGTCCTGGACGCCGGCGGTGCGAACGGTCGCGTCGCGGCCACTGGGCGTGGATGTAACGTGACCGGCGGGGTAGGGCGTGGGGTGAAGCCACCGCTCGCTCGCTCGCTCGTACAGGGACAAAGTCCCCCCCCGTGTAGTCTTAGCAGACTTGGGGGCGAGTGCTGTTAGCCGAGCAGCACCCGTGAGGGGACTGGTGGCCAGCACCTCTCACCCCCTCTCCTCTCTCCACTCTCACCCCACCCTCCCCTCTCACTCCACGCTGTAAAAGTCCCTCCGCATGGGAGTCGAGGAGGAGCCACACGCCGGCTCGCCGGGAGAAGATAGCGACACGTAGACACTCCGCCTTTTTTGTTTGGATGGGGTAGAGGACTGCAGAGCTCGGGAAATTCTTAGTGCCGGCTTCTCGTCACCTCCTCCTGGCGCCTCCAAGTAGCCCTCTCCTCTCTCTCTCTCTCCCCGAGTCGTCCCCTCCCTCTCTCTCTCCCCGAGTCGTCCCCTCCCTCCCTCCCTCTCCGCGAGTGAGCGGTGGACACCGTGCGAGCGAGCGACGTGGTTCTCACGTCGGCCCGCGCTTGGCTCCCCCGGGCGGCTCGAGTGGGGCCCCACCGCCGTCTCGCGCGTAAACATGCTCGTGCGTGTCGTGTGTGTGTGTGTGTGTGTCGTGTGTGTGTGTGTGCGTGTGCGTGTGTGCGCGTGTGTGTGTGTGAGTGTCTCCCGTGCTTGTCGTGTGTGTGTGTGTGCGCGTGTCTCCCGCGTGTGTGTGTGCGTGAGTGTCTCCGCGTGCGTGTGTGTGTGTCTCCCGTGTCGTGTGTGTGTGTGCGTGTGCGTGTGTGCGTGTGTGCGCGTGTGTGTGTGTGTGTGAGTGTCTCCCGTGCTTGTCGTGTGTGTGCGTGTGTGCGCGCGCGCGTGTCTCCCGCGTGCGTGTGTGCGTGAGTGTCTCCCGTGTGTGTCGTGTGTGTGTGTGCGTGTGTGCGTGAGTGTCTCCCGCGTGCGTGTGTGTGCGTGTGTGTGCGTGAGTGTCTCCCGTGTGTGTCGTGTGTGTGTGTGTGCGTGTGTGCGTGAGTGTCTCCGCGTGTCGCGTGTGTGTGTGTGTGCGTGTCTCCCGTGTGTTTTGTTACTCCCGTGCGCGTCGCTGCAGATCGAGAGCCACAAGCTGAACTTCCGCGAGTCGGCGCGCTCGCGCACCGACCACGGCGCCGACATCGTGTCGGCGGGTCACACCCCGCGTCGCCTCAGCAACGTGAGCTCCGCGGGCAGCGCCAACCTCCTCGAGTCGCCGCGCCTCTCCACACTCGCCTCCGACGTGTCGGCCGCCCTCGCCCAGCAGGCGCTGTGACCCCCCCCCCCCCCCGCCACCAACCCTGCCGCACTCCTCCGCCTCGAGCGATGGCTCCCTTCTTGTTTCTACCCCGCTCACTCTTCCGTCTCTCTCCTCTCTCTCTCTCTCTTCCCCGCGTCTCTCACCGATGGACTTTCGTTTGCCTCTCTTCTCACTCGGGCCCATGCTCCCACTCTCCGCTTTGTCTCTCTCCTCCCTACTATCGTTCCCCCCCCCCCCCGCCTCCGCTCTCTCCTCTCGCCTGTCTTGATCCCCTCCATCCCTGAGTGAGTCCGAGCTGAGCTCCGGGCGGGTGGGCGGTTGCGTGGTTTTTGTCCGGAGCAGTCGGACAAAACCCCCCAGCGGGATCTCCATGAATCTCCACACCTCGTACCGCTCTCCGTAAGTCACGTGGGAGAGAGCTCCGTCTCTCTGTCACCGTCTCTCTGTCACCGTCTCCCTGTCACCGTCTCTCTGTCACCGTCTCTGTCACCGTCTCTCTGTCACCGTCTCCCTGTCACCGTCTCTCTGTCACCGTCTCTGTCACCGTCTCTCTGTCACCGTCTCCCTGTCACCGTCTCTGTCACCGTCTCTCCGTCACCGTCTCTCCGTCACCGTCTCTCCGTCACCGTCTCTCCGTCACCGTCTCTCCGTCACCGTCTCTCCGTCACCGTCTCTCTGTCACCGTCTCTCTGTCACCGTCTCCCTGTCACCGTCTCTGTCACCGTCTCTCCGTCACCGTCTCTCCGTCACCGTCTCTCCGTCACCGTCTCTCCGTCACCGTCTCTTTGTCACCGTCTCTCTGTCACCGTCTCTCTGTCACCGTCTCTCTGTCACCGTCTCCCTGTCACCGTCTCTGTCACCGTCTCTCCGTCACCGTCTCTCCGTCACCGTCTCTCCGTCACCGTCTCTCTGTCACCGTCTCTCTGTCACCGTCTCTCTGTCACCGTCTCTCTGTCACCGTCTCCCTGTCACCGTCTCTGTCACCGTCTCTCTGTCACCGTCTCCCTGTCACCGTCTCTGTCACCGTCTCTCCGTCACCGTCTCTCCGTCACCGTCTCTCCGTCACCGTCTCTCCGTCACCGTCTCTCTGTCACCGTCTCTCTATCACCGTCTCTCTGTCACCGTCTCTCTGTCACCGTCTCTCTGTCACCGTCTCTCTGTCACCGTCTCCCTGTCACCGTCTCCCTGTCACCGTCTCTCTGTCACCGTCTCTCTGTCACCGTCTCTCTGTCACCGTCTCCCTGTCACCGTCTCTCTGTCACCGTCTCTCTGTCACCGTCTCCCTGTCACCGTCTCTGTCACCGTCTCTCTGTCATCGTCTCCCTGTCACCGTCTCTGTCACCGTCTCTCCGTCACCGTCTCTTCGTCACCGTCTCTCCGTCACCGTCTCTCTGTCACCGTCTCTCTGTCACCGTCTCTCTGTCACCGTCTCCCTGTCACCGTCTCTGTCACCGTCTCTCTGTCACCGTCTCCCTGTCACCGTCTCTGTCACCGTCTCTCCGTCACCGTCTCTCCGTCACCGTCTCTCCGTCACCGTCTCTCCGTCACCGTCTCTCTGTCACCGTCTCTCTGTCACCGTCTCTCTGTCACCGTCTCTCTGTCACCGTCTCCCTGTCACCGTCTCCCTGTCACCGTCTCTCTGTCACCGTCTCTCTGTCACCGTCTCTCTGTCACCGTCTCCCTGTCACCGTCTCTCTGTCACCGTCTCTCTGTCACCGTCTCTCTGTCACCGTCTCTCTGTCACCGTCTCTCTGTCACCGTCTCCCTGTCACCGTCTCGCTGTCACCGTCTCCCTGTCACCGTCTCTCTGTCACCATCTCTCTGTCACCGTCTCTCTGTCACCGTCTCTCTGTCACCGTCTCCCTCTTACCGTCTCTCTGTCACCGTCTCTCTGTCACCGTCTCTGTCACCGTCTCTCTGTCACCGTCTCTGTCACCGTCTCTCTGTCACCGTCTCTCTGTCACCGTCTCTCTGTCACCGTCTCTGTCACCGTCTCTCTGTTACCGTCTCTCCGTCACCGTCTCTCTGTCACCGTCTCTCTGTCACCGTCTCTCTGTCACCGTCTCTCTGTCACCGTCTCTCTGTCACCGTCTCTCTGTCACCGTCTCTTCACTCGGAGGCGGTGATGATTCGGAAATGCCGCCACCGGTTAAGGTGTTGGGTAATGGAAACTGATAAGGGAACTTCTTGTTTAGGGGACTGGTTATGGGACTGCTCATGGGTCCAGTTAAGGAGCCCTTTAAGGGACCAGTTCAGGTGACTGGTTAGTTTGTAGTGATGAAGTTGTTGTTGTTGTGGGGCTATAGCGGCGCGCTGGAGACGATGGCGAGTAGGGAAGTGCGAATTTGAGAACGCACCTTGACCATCGCTCCCTCCAACGGTGGAAATTCCACAATCCCATGGCGGTGGGAATGGTGGGGGCAGTCCTTCCGTGTGTCAATAACGACTGCGATAACGACAACCCACCCTCAGTGTTATCCCGTGGACCCGGTCGCACAGTTTTTGTATCCTGGCTTGTGACCCACGGGCAAAGTTTACCTTACTCCGTCGTGCTCACCCATGCCTCTCCACTGCTGGACGGATTCCTCGTCCATCCAGAAGTTGACGACGACGATGCCCAGTGCCGGATTAGGCTAGTGCGGGGCCTGTAGCATGTGATGTTATTAAGGGGCCCCTAAATAAAAGAAAACACGTAAATATTAAAACACTAATCTTTATTTTACTTTGAATAGTAAAGTAATTGTATTTTTTCATTTGCTATACAGCCGGATAATACAACAATTCGCTAACCTTAAACACCCGGTCGTTCATAAAAGTTGAAGGCGGTATAGTACTATAGTAATAGAGCGAGTGCAGAATCACTGAGCCGGAATTGATAGCTTGAAAGCGTTTAGCGCGGGGCCCTTGAAAGTGCGGGGCCCGTAGCTACTACTACTACATGTGTAGTAGTAGCTACTACTACATGGTAGCTACTACATAGTAGCTACTACTACATGTGTAGCTACTACATAGTAGCTACTACTACATAGTAGCTACTATATAGTACTACATAGTAGCTACTACATAGTAGCTACTACTACATGTGTAGCTACTACATTTGTAGCTACTTGTGCCACTAGGATAATCCGGCACTGCCGATGCCGATGTCGTCGTTGTACGGGCCGAGCGGACGCCCCGGGTGGGATTTATTCCCGTCAGCCTCTCGCGCCGACCGCGGCGCCGCCGCTCCTCGATGCCCGCGAACGCCAGCGCGAAAGGGCCGCTGGCGTCGCCATCGCGCCTCTGGCTCCCCGATCGCGCGTGCCAGGGGTTTATTTATTCGCCGCGACGCCGTGAGGTCGTTTGCCGTGTGGGCCGTCGATTCCTGTGGTGGTGGTGGTGGTGGGGGGGTGGAGGTGAACCGGGCCTTGGACGCGGTCGAAACTCGGCGAGTCCCCCGGGAAGACTTTCGCCGTTCCCACACGCAGGGGGGGACACCCCCCCTCCCACAGTACGTGTCACGTGACGCGCGCCGCCCTCTATCGATACACTGCCGGATGAAGGTTTTGTCCGCCGCGCTGTGCCGGTCGCTTGACCATACTTCACCGCGCCGGTCAGTGCAGGTCGGTGAAGGCTACGGGACGAGAGCGGGGGGGGGGGGGGGGGTCAGGTTCAGACGTCGTTGGAACTCTGACCGCCGGGTTTGTAGCGCGGTGCGTTAATTGCGGCGCCACCGCTCCACCCCCGGCACTGCTGTAGGTACGGTTGGCCTCGCGCTGACGCGACTTTGACGACGCTTTCACGTTTGTAATCGCTTGCTAGTACGATTTAAAATAATATTTAATTTTTAATAATAACGAGAATAGTCGACTATCCCTTGGCAATTCCACTTGCTGGATGAAGGCCTTTCCCGTGTTTCCCGTGCCCTTTTCAACCACGGGGGGTGGAGGGGGGTTGTTTGACCATACTTCACCAGGCTGGTCAGTGTGGGTCGATGGTGGGGGCACGCTTATGACCCCACGTGTTTCGGGAATAGTTGGAACTAATCGCCGCCAGGTTCATAGCGCAGTGCGCTAACCGCTAGGCCCACCGCTCCTCCCCCCCCCCCCCCCCCCCCCCCGCTTTAAGACGTGTTACCGGTAGCATTTTTAGCTAAAATTTGACTAATTATGTTTGGGGATGATCTGGCTGCTGCGGCTGCTGCGTTGGCACACAAGCACAATTATCAGCGGGAAAACACTCGACACGATTCCGTCTCAGTGACAACACGTGTGTGCGCGTTGGCTTAAACGAAGAGAACTATAAATTAGAATATAACAGGCGACCTTCGGGGCAATGGTCCCTTCTTAACGGAACGTAAATGGAAAATGTGAAACCGTGGAACTCGGAACGACTCCGTGCCCGATTCGCAAACGTGAGGGAGGAGGGAGGAGGGTGCCGTCATCAGCACAGCGGACGATGACCCGCCACTCCGCCACTCCCGGACGCAATCATCCGGCTCATCAACCACCTCGCTGTAGAAATGACCGCCGTTGCTCTATGCCAGCGGTCATTCATCGCAAGGCCTCCGTGGGGCCACTGGTGGCCCCTGGTGGCCTTTAGTGCGGCCCCTGACGGGCGGCGCCCCGGACGATACACAAAGAGCGACACCCCCCCCCCCATCATCAACGTGCTGCTGTTAAACTCCCCAGTGGTTTCAAATGTGTGTGGCGGCCATCCTCACACTGATGATGTCGTGTATCGCCGGCGAAAGTGCCCCCTAACCCCGACGTGTGAAAATGAGTGAAGACCACTGGCCTAGCACCAACGTTCGAGCCACACCAGCGCCAGTAGCCATACGTCGGCAGACGAGACCGCACACAAACGACACTTCGTCGTAGAACGGTCATTGCCTGAAATGTTCCGTGTTCGCTGACCGAGGTCGGACCGCCCACCGAGGCTCGGCGAGACGGGCCCATCACGCCGACCAGTCCTCCCGTGAACTTTTAGTCTCCGTCGTCTGTCTGTGCGCGCGTGCGTGCGTGTGTGCGTGTGTGTGCGCACGTTGTATCAAATATTTTATACGGTACTTGTATTTAACGGGAGAAATAGAGCCCCTCTGGGTAGCTTTACGTAACCAATTTGTATAATTTCTAGGCCGCCGTCGTTTGTTGTTGCAGAGGTTTATTGTTGTTGTTGTTGTGGGGGTTGTTGTGGGGGTTGTTTTTGTTGTCCCATGGTGGCTTTGTTCGGGCAGTCTTCCAAAATTCCGGGGCGAAGGGGGGAACGGGCGCGGAGATGGAGGGGGTCCAGGGTTCGGGCTGAAATGAGAACTTCCCTACAAATTAGGCAGTGACGTTGCATGGATGGAATCTGGCCCAAATAATCCGGCACGTACATACGTACATACGTGTGTATGTTGAACTTCTTTCGCACCAGTACGGAGCCAGCCGAGCTTCACGGAGGTGCAGGACTACGAACTCCGCCCCATATCGGTCCCTCCACGTTAAACAAAAACTATTTCTACACATCCCCGGGGCCA